AGGCCTGGCAGAATTTCAGGGGTGAGGTTGCAGCCACTGTCACAGAGGCCGCTGTCTTACTTGATATAGAACGCCCCTGCAGCGCGTGTGCTGCGCAGCTCCTGATGCTGCTGAAGGACCCCGAGGTAACTTCACCTGGCTTGGCTTAGTTTCTATCGCATGCAGGCTGGCTGTACCCGTATGTATGCGGGGGGTTAGTGCTCGTCTTCTGTCTTTTGTTTGTTTGAGTCAACGCTGCTGCTGCGCGTGCTGCTGCCTCACATTCACAGCCTTGCAAGTGTATGTATGTATGTATGTATATGTATATGTATATGTATATGTATATGTATTTGTATATGTATATGTATATGTATATGTATGTATATGTATGTATATGTATGTATGTATATGTATGTATGTATGTCTCCTTTGCTGCAGACTGCTGCACGCCCTGAAGCGCTGCTGGAGGTAGAGGCGCGGCTTTACTTTGTCTCTGCGATTGCTAACCGCATTCAACTGAATGTGCCCCCAGGGGGAACACAAGGAGACAGCAACAGCAGCAACAACAGCAGCAGCAGCGTCAATACAGCAGCCCCAAGCACAGACCCGCGAAGCGATAACTTCCTGCTGCAGCTGCTGCCGCTGCTGCCGCAGCTGGCATTCTCAGCGCCGCCCGCAGCTTCCTCGGGGTCCCCCGTAGAAATCACAGAACAGGGAGCCCTGCAACTCTTCTTGCATGCAGCAGCAGCTCGAGCTATCTCTTGGCTTGCTGGCCGTGTACTGCCGCAGCATCAGGAGTTGTTTGCCCCTCTCTTCTCTCTCCTCGTCACTCGTGCGCTGCAGTTCGTTGCTTCGCTCCCGGTGCGTCTATCTCCCCTCTCTTCAGAGACTGTCTCCTTCATACCAACCAGCAGCTCCGGTCCTTTCTGCCGTGGGCACGGGGGAGCGTCGCAGGCGGCCGAGCCCCCCCCCTGCTGCAGTGGCTTGGGGGTGCATAGCAGCAGGCTCAGACTGCAGTGCAAGTGTAGGGGAATCCGGAGAGGGGGGGCGTTTCTCTCTCTTTCTCTCTCTCTCTTGGTGTTACTCTCTTTCTTATTGCTGTGCTGTCTGTGTTGCTGTGTGTTTGGGTAGGAGGCGGCAAAGGACTCGAATGCTGCTCTTATACGTCTGTCTACTGAGGCGTTGCTGGTGGAGGGCCTTTCTTCGCTTGTTGCTGCAGCAGCAAGCTTCATCCCATCGCCAGGAAGGGAAGAGGATGTGCATGCGCTTCTGCATGCCCTCATAGACGCATTCTCTAGGTACGTGCAACCCCGCTGCTCCTCTGCCTCTCAGCTAGCCAAGCTAGCCAAGCTAGCCACACACACACACAGTCACTACCACTTGTGCACTTTTTCCTGTATCACAAGTGCTCCGCCTCTAGCTAGCTAGCTAACTAACTAGGTAAAGATAGGCTGTGTCTGAGCTCTAGCTACCTAGCTAGCTGGCTAGCTAGCCAGCTAGCTAGATAAATAGCTCGCAAGCTGGGCCCGCCTCGCCTCGACCGATAGAGTTTGTTGAGAGCTTGAGTGCAGATATATATTTCTCTTGGCTTATATATTTCTCTTGGTTTAGTATACACTGGGGCTGCGGGTCTCTTCAGGCCGGGACTGAGTCTAGACAACAGCTCCTCCCTGGTGCACACAGCGGGGTACGTCATCTCCTGCTTGGACGCTCCCCGTATTCGCGTGCTCTTTGCGCAGCTTCTACAAGTAAGTGGAGCTTTATAACATTAATTTTTTTTCTGTATTTCTCTTTCTTTTCTTTCGTTGCACTGTCTCCTTTCTGCCATTCTCCCTCTGCTTCTTTTGTCTCCACCTTTTTCTCTGTCTCTCGGCTCGGCCTCTGTCTCTCGAAGCAGATGCTCCGTGGCCACGCTCATCTCTGGCTGCTAGGCGGGGCTTGGGGGACAGCCGCGTGCCCTGTATGCATGCG